CGGCATGTTATTGTATCTTAATTAATAGCCATCAATACGAGCAGGCGAGGCTCAAGTTATAGGGAAGTAGAAATTAAGACATCGTGTTAAGTATTATAGTCTTAATATTACTATATATTCTTACTGGAGTGTATATTTGAAGAAATGATATTATTACCTGGACTATAGTGTAGAATTGGGTGCCCCTTCCATCGGTGAAAAATTTTGTTCAAGTTTGGCGATGAAACCCCGTTTCTGGTTACCATAATAGTTTTAACTTGATTTCAGCTTCCTGAATTTTTTTTGAAGTGAAAATAAATCGATGTGTTCATGGACAAAGTCAAGGCAGTGCGCAATGCCTAGTTTGTGCAATTGTCTGATTTTTTTAAGTGAAAATAAATCGATGTGTACATGGACACCGAGATCGTTTAATTCTTTGACTTCTTATTTTGGTTTCGTTGCGTGCCTGACGCCGATCTTAGCGTCAAAAAAGAATCGCCAAATAAACAAGGGGCACTTAATTGTAAACTTTTACTATTACCTGCATTAATATATACCACTCTAATACAAAACAATTCAAGTCAAACAACCTGTATTAATTTAGAATTAATTAATTACCTGTAATATTATTGCTACTTGTATTAATTAATTAGTAATTAGTTACCTGTTTTAATTTAGTAGTGTTACCTGTAGTTTATCCATGACAGTTTTCATTTGTTACGTTTTTACTGGAACCACGCCCTTCGGAAATTGAATTATTGGCATAACTTTCCCCTCTCGATTTTCGGTTTTCGGGAGATAAAAGTAGTTAAAAACAAGTAATATAAAGAACATTTTTTTGAAGTCAGTTCCTACTTTGGTCAACAAAGAAAAATTTTATTTAAGTTACTTTTTATTAACATTATTAAAATTTTTTCGTTTCTTATTTATGAAGTTGATGGTGGTCTATAACTTCTCATTCTATCCATTTCTTGTAATGCTTCATTATTGCAAGGTACCTTTCCAGTGAGTTTCTACCAGTCAAAAGTTCTTCAATTAATATTCCATCTAATGATTTCACACGACTCAAGGCGACATACAGTGTCTCAAAAAAGTGATGGGACACTTGTGCTTTACAAAAGGAAACTGCAATAAAATAAATTTAAAAAACATGTAAAATTTTTTGTGCGTGTGTTTCATACTTAAATTTAGTAAACAATTATTACATAAAATACATTTTCTCTCAAATATTAAAAATTAATTAATAAAATACAATTGTTTAGAACGGAGCAGAAAATGGCTCACTTAAGTGATGGGACACTTACTTTTCCATCAAATATTTATCCAAAAATTTTACTTTTTAAAAGGTTTTAATATTTTGTTGGATTTCCTTTTACTTTTAAAACATGATTTAATCTTCTTGGAATAGATTCGACTAATTTTTTTGTGATTTCTGGAGTGATTTTTTCCCATTCTTCTTGAAGCACCGATTTTAATTGTTGTTTTGAAGAAATGGTGTGTTTGCGAATTCTTGCCAAATATTTATTCTCTATGGGATTTAATTGTGGAAATTGTGGGGGTGTTTTTATTATTTCAGGACAGTTATACAGCAGCCAGAGTCTAACGTTCAAAGCACTGTGCTTGGGGTCATTGTCCTGGTAGAATTTAAAATCGTTATGAAGGTTCAATTTTCGTGCTGAAGATTTCAAATTTTGATTTAAAATGTCAATATACTTGTACTGATCCATTATACTGTCAATAAAAACAAGATTACCAACTCCAGCAGACGACATACACCCCCATACCATAACTCCTCCTCCACCATGTTTTACTGTTGGCACCAAGTTCTGTTTGCGAAATTCTTTCCTGGGTTTTCTCTACAGCAAGATTCTACTGTCAGAACTAAATATATTAAATTTACTCTCATCAGCAAATATAACTTCATTCCAGTAATCAGAATTCTTATTTATGTTGGATTTTGCGAAAGCCAGTCTGAGTTTTCTATTCTTTTCACTCAACGAAGAATTTTTTCCTGGCTGCTCTACCGTGATATCCAGCAGATCGAATTACTCTTATAACAGTCTCAGGAATTAACAATTACTCCATATAATGCTTGTAAATCAGACAGCAACTTTAGGAGCACTCATTCTTGGAGTTTTTTTTTAAATATTTCCGAACGATAATTCGCTTTATTCCATTGGATAGCTTTGATGGTCGGCCAGGTCTTCTTTTATCCTGAATCATATGATTCTTTTTATATCGTTTAATGATATTGAAAAACTGTTGAATGACTGAAGTTAACTGTTTCAGTAGTTTCTCTAATAAATTTTTCCACGTTCAATATGCAAATTAATAACTAATTTTCGAATTCCAGGCAAGTTTCTTTTCGTTTAGCATTCATGGCTGCACAGAGCTAAAAAACACAAAATTCCAAAACAAACTGGAGAGAAATACCTGCAGACGATTTTATAAATTATTGGCAATTGCTTTTGAGTAAAAATAAATACCCCAAAAGATATTTTTATTGCTTACTTCAGACGATTTTTGTTGCATAGTACGTAGTGTCCCATCACTTAAGTGAGCCGTTTTCTGTTCCGTTCTAAACAATTGTATTTTTATTAAATTATTATTTTAATATTTTGAGAAAATGTATGTTATGTAATAATTGTTACTAAATTTAAGTATGAAACACATCCACAAAAAATTTTACATGTTTTTTAAATTTATTTTATTGCAGTTTCCTTTTGTAAAGCACAAGTGTCCCATCACTTTTTTGAGACACTGTATGCTTCACCTGTTGCAAAGAGTATAATAATATTAATGGAATATTAATCGTCGCTTGGGTTGGGTTGTATTTTCCTTTCGCATTCTCCGTTTGTGAAGCAAGGGACATTTTAAAGGGTTATATTTTAAACATATATTATTATCACGTTAACATAGAAATATGCGGAGAAGTTTCGCTACATAATGGGACATTACATCCGCTTCACCCAACTCTATAAAACTACAATTCTTTAATTCCATACACTTTAAAAGTCTTTACAACTCTGTCTTACTGTTGCCACTTATCATTTTTGTTAAATATTACAATCAGTCATGTACTATTATTTATAAGTTGTTATAAAATTAATTTTTACAGCACGTGAGAATTTCTAATAAACGGTCATTATTTGTAAGTCTTATAATCTATTTAAAGCAGCATATCTTTATTTCCGATAAACAGGAATAAATAAGTAGGAATTGACTTTAATACATGAAAAACTGTATTAACATCATGTATCATCCGCTACAAGTTTAAAAAACTGTATTTGAACTTTAGAGGATGAATAAAAAGTATTTTTTTTAATAATTGAAAATTTGAACAAAATCTAGGAAGAGTGTGAACTAATAGTAGGAATTAAAAGAAGAGAAAATACGCGGTGAAATATGGTAAATATATATGGTAAATATCTATGGTATGCTAAACTTTTATGTATTTTCTATTAATGGAACATCAAATAGAATAATATCTTGTATAATAACATGAAGTAGAATATTCACTGCTGCATGTTCTGCATAAACTCTGTCAGAGAATGAGTGTTTATTGTAAGTACTGCAAAACAAACTACTATATACCTTACATTGTCAGAATAAATGTAATATTCAACTCTAGCTACTAACTATAGCATTTTAACTATAGTTACTAGCACACGAGAAATTACACTCGGAATTGAGCCTTTTCTAAAATTATTTTATGTTCATTATTTTTAGTTGTAGCTCCATTTTAGATAGAGTACAATAGCTCACAAATGAAATGCATATAATGTGTACGAAAATATAATGTAGTTTGTTGTTGCTGTTGTTGTCGAGTCCATATTTCATGGAAGACTGGTTGTCAGAACCTCAAGGAGAAGAAAAATAGTTTATAAAGGTTATAATTTTTCAGTTATGTGAATGGATGCTATACTTATTTACTATAAAATTCAGACCAAAAAAATAAAAATTCTAAATTGTTATTATACTTCTGTTTATTTATGTGCGAAGGTGATAAAATTATGCTTTATGACTAAAGCACAAAGTCCAGTACTAAATTTTAAGTATATGATTTGCTCAGTTGGTAGAGCACTCAAGAACGCGGGCTCATTTGAGCATTGGAAAACTGCAGTTACCAGTGGCTAACCAATGCTACACACAGTTAGTAGCATCGGTAACTGCAATTAACAATGCTACTAAACATTGGTATTTTGGTAGGAGTTTCAGTTTTCCTGAATAAAAGTATACCTTTGATATCTTTGTGAGGTTGTTTGCCAATAATTCTTAACCTCTGTTATTTACTCGGAAGAGATTAGCTTTCCAGCTTAACTTGGATAACAGATATATTCTGCGCAAATGCCTTTAATTGTTGTGATGAATCAATCCAAAACACTACATAGGCAGTGTGACTATCGACGAAATTTTTCAGATTAAAGCGTAAGAACAGACATTGTTACTTCTAATATTTACGAACATTTTTATGGTTCCTACGGCCTTTATATGGTGGAATATAAAATTGGCTGAAAGAAGCAAAACACAAGTTCATTAAATTTATGCAGTACAATTATTTCACCTTTCAAATGGTAGAATGGAAATAAAATGACCGTTTTACATTTTTTTTAATTCTGTAAAAACATTTCACCTTTCAGGTTCTGCAAAAATCTCATTCAGTATCTCATTGTCATGTTTCCTGAACCTAATTTTTTTCATCTGAAAACGACTACTACTACTATCAGTCTCACCCATACTAACGAACTAAAAACAAATGTTGCTTTTTTCCTCCGAAAGGCATTCATTCGGATTTTATTTGTATACTTATCCGCACTCTGTGTCAGATTCTTAAGCTGAAGAAAGTATTATTTAGCTGCTGTACTAAATACCTTTTCTTCTGATGAAATGGTTACTGTAGAATAAGTCTCACCATTTTCTTTATTTCATAAAGTCAGTTTTCATGAGTAAATAAAATGTTTTGATATCTATAAATAATTTTAAATGTCGTTTGTATTTTCCTCCCTTTTCTTTGGAATTAGCAATGACAATTCAGTTCGATCTGCGGAGAAAGCTGGTATTCTTTTTCCCGGGTCACCTGGAACTTACCGCAAAATCAGCGCCACCAATCAGCTGAATAACGCAAAACCTAGGCGGATCACGGCTGGCAACATGTTAGCTAACAAAATGGCAGAGGTTGGAGTTGCTAGTGTTGGGAGCTGGCCAAATGACAAGGATTCCTACGAACTTGGCGAAGTTATTGGTAGGTTGAGTGAGTTGTAACGGTGTATATTGTTATAAAAATGATAAAATGTTGGCTATTTTATTGGTCATACATGATTTATTTGGCTTAATGTGTGTTACCGGCATATGTGTTCGAATGTCATGCTTGAGAATTAAAACAAAACCAAGGAATGTCATTTAAAGCATTTAATGTATATGCGATTAATTTATAAATAAATAATATAATTATTTGAGATCGAAGAAATGTGTTTACCGCTTAATTTAAGATTCTATGATTTTTTCTAAAGTACCGAAGAATTATGTTTATCCTATCATTAATTCTTGTACGATTTTCCATTTTTAAATTCTTTTAAATGTTATTTAGGTGGATATTATTTAAAGTTTATTGTTCATCAAATATATATGAAATTTTGATAATCTTTACCGAAAGCTAATGGAAAAGAGCCTGCGTAGCTAAAATTTTGTAGATTTAAATTTAAAGCAGGATATAAAAAGTATCAGTTTTTATTCATATCATTCTGATGATGCACATAAAAATGGAAAGGGAAATGTTTTACTCCAGTGACAGAAAACTATTATATGTATTGTTGTTAAGCAAATTTTACCCTGTGAAATATTTGTAAAGGCATGCCTTATTTCTTTCTTCCATTTTTGAAGTCTTTCAATTTGAATTGAATTTTAGGTGTTGGTGCCACTGCAATTGTTCATAGTGCATTCTGCAAGCCTAGGAAAGAGAAATGTGCTATAAAACGAATCAACTTGGAAAAATGGAATACGAATATGGATGAACTTTTAGTAAGTGTTTTTAATACTTTATTATATCATGCATATTCCTTTGTTTATTTTCTTATTTATCATGTTTATGTCAAAAACAGACCTCTAAAATTTGGTGGGATCTTAAAAATCAAGATTTTGGATACATGAAAATTCAGAATAAGAGGAAGTTTATCATATTCTAAAGAATAATTGCCCTGTAATTAACAATCTAGATTATTGCCATATATATATATAGATAAGAAATTTAGAACCAACTGTAATATTAATATATACATACACTGTGTAACTGCTGCTGATTATATAAGCTGTGTCTGGCTGAGCGATTTCAGTTTTGATCTGTATCTACTATACTGCTCACTGGCTTGCCTTAAAACAAATAGATAATGTATTAATAACCATATCATTGGTCCATGGCTAATGGTCTGTTATTTTAAGGAAATTTTAAAGAGGCAAGGAAAAAAAAAATCATTTTTAGAAGTACTGTAAGATGAAATAAATATTCACTTATATATTTTTATATTTTAGACTTTATCTTGGAAATTAAGGAGAACCTTATATTCAAAGCTGTTTATCTTTTCAAATAAATCTAATATTTAGATATTTGCATTTATGGAGTAAAATTTGTTGTTTGTAGTTAACACTAGTTATCTTGGACTCAAATTGGCTACACACTGGAAATTAATTTTTAACAAAATTAAAAAGTTCGAAAGTTAAATTTTAAGTTTCACATACTAATTAATAAAACGTGAGAATAAGTGATAACCTATTCCCTTTCTCATTCATTGAATTTTTCTTCAGCATATACTGAAAAAAATTAACGTAGCCTTTGAAAAACATTACTGGAAACTACCTTCATTACAAACTGTTGATGCTTATCAACCAATCAAGTTCTTTTTTGCACTTAATTTTCAACTGGACAGAGGGGACTGTTCACATATAAATCCCAAATGAAGTGATTATTCTTATTAGAAATATTTGTAATTTAGAATATTTATCTTTTGACAAATACAAGTTAATCAAATCTATATATAGCCTCAAAACTTAGAATAATATGATCTCTACTGTGAATTAATTAGCTTCATTCATGGGTTTGCTGTTGCATTATTAGCATTTTTAATGGTAATAACCTTTATGTAAATTGATTTCAAGTAATTAAAATCTAAGTCTTTTATCAGTTTTGTAGTAATATAATGTTGTTTTTCTTGCATATAGTTGAGATTTTTCATTTGAAATAATAGAGCAGATTTTAAATATGCCAAAAATATAATCTCTAATATAAGGGTAAGTGACAGTGATAAGTTTATTCTTTCCTTGCAGCTCTTTATTGAGGATGTTTAAATGGCTAGCTAAGAACAAGAAACGCTAAATCACGGTCACATCATAAGTGATGTAGCTCTAACCTGTTTATTTCGATTTCTTTCAGCAGCAGTCAAGCACATGAGCTGAGTTCATATCTCTATCTAAAACATTGGTTCTCAACCTTTTTTGTTCCATTTGCCTCTTTTATCAGTGCTAGAAAATCGTTGCTCCTCCCTTCCTTTTCTAAACTCGAAAGATGCATATACATGTAATAATAAAATCACAAGAAAAAGCCGGAGCAGTGTCGATGCTTGCTTAGATCCACAGTGAAGAAGTATTTGATTGTGTAGTATGCTAGTAATGCTAACTTGGTAATATCTAAAGAACTTGGCAGTCGAAGCAGTTTTAATTCCATTTTTATTTCCAATTGATATTTGTGGCCACAATCACTTGGCACTCTAGTCGTGCCTTTCCACAGAAGATTTACATTTTAGATATTGTTGAGATAGAAATCAAGCCAGCGAAATTACATCTTAGCAAAGTAGAGAGCAAAAGCTGAAGTACATAGTTATGAAAGATGGAAGCACGTGAAGAGAAAAGTTTTGGTTTACAATTCGGTGATTGGTCGTCAAGAGGCATCTGGTATTAACGGTTACGTAAGATCGCATGATTCATTTGAATGATGCAATGCAGATAAGTTATTACGATTTTAGAATAGAGAGGAAGAATTAATGTTTATAGTTATATTATAATTCTGATTCATACATTTTTATCTTACATACATATATTTTGATTTGGATTATTTTTTAACATGTTGACTGCCACTGCTGTTTTCACATTTTGACTTTCAAAGGCCAATTTGGTTTTATTATATCATTTTATTCAGAATTCAAATTATAATGCATATTAATCACAGACATTATTTCAAACTAAGCCTGTATAAAATTTGTTAAATACTTAAAATCTACAAATAGCTTATGATAGAAAATTCATGATAACAAGTTTTGTGGACATAATTATTGCATAAAATAAAACGGGATAAGTAAATTTGATGCTTTCTGTTGAATTGTGTCCCTATTGAAAATTTGTGAACTCGTTACCGATTTCGGAGAGAAACTTTTATTTGGGGTGCTTTTATTTTATTTCAACAATGCAGTCTGTTTATATTTAAAAAAAAAAAAAAAAAAAAAAAAAAAAAGCAAAACACTTGTTTTTTGTTTGTTTTAGGAATACTTATTTATTTATTTATTTATTATTTTATTTTATTTATTTATTTTTTTTTTTCCATTGGTTTTCTCCCCTTGTACACAACAGTCTGTTTTGGCTTAAAAAAGAGACAAGTCAGAGAATTGCACAAATTTGGGATCAGGCACAACCTCAGCATTGGGAACCAGCTGAAGATCAATAAAGAACAGTTGAAACTTCGACACGCACTTCAGCATAATGAAAATAAAAGAGGACAAACTCGACAGTTTCATTACCATTTCTTATGACAGACCAAAAAGAAAAAAAAAAAAAAAATCTAAATGTGAAAAGAATTATTAATTAGAAAAATGACCATTGAATTTTTAAAATGCAAATCCACTCAAACACACATGTGCTGCACACATACCTGGATTGATGCATAAATTCTTTTTGGCAACATCGTGCCTTGTCTCATCAAAACGTTTTTGCAGTTTCATGGGTGTGTGGATAATTATTATTATTTTAATTGTATTTTTATCTATTAACAGAAAGAAATACAAGCAATGAGTGCCTGCAATCATGAAAATGTTGTTAGTTATTTCACATCCTTTGTCGTGAAAGAAGAATTATGGCTGGTAATCAAACTTCTAGCTGGAGGTAAAATAGTTTAAATTGCTGAATTTTAATTCTTTTGCATTTAAATTTTTCGAAAGCCTTTTGAATAAATAGTTTGAGATTAAAATATAAAAAAAACAAGATTTGCAATGTGTGCCATTTTGTCCTTCAGAAATTTATTAATTGACTTTTCTATGTATTATTATTTTTAAAAGTTATTTTTCTGATATGTTTTGTACTAAGGCTTAAAAATAGATTATATTAGATTAATTTTAATTGAAAGAAATTTGTATGTGCACTTGCTGTTGCTGGCTTCAACTGCCTTATGATTGTTTGTATTTATAAATCTGTTCTGAGACTGAATGCATAAAATAAGTACCTTGATGTCATTATCATGTATAAATTAGTGACATGTATTATACACTAAAGTAGTAATATTTTTATAACAATGAACAATGATAAAATAAGCTAAATTGAATGTAATTTGATCTGCATCTATGTTTTAGGGTCATTACTAGATATTATTAAACACAAAATGAAAATGGAAGACTGTAAACATGGTGTTTTTGATGAAGCTACTGTTGCTACAGTTCTAAGAGAAGTTCTTAAAGGTTTAGAATATTTTCATAACAATGGCCAAATTCACAGGTATACATCTTTTCCTATTAATTTGTAATTGTAGAAATGCTGAATAAAATGTTTAATGCATTTCATTTTGTATTTTGCATTGTACATAATGCAAGTTTTTATGTATGAATGTATTACAATTAGTTTACTATGTATGAATATTATTTACAAATTATTCATTTTTTTAAAGTATTCTGAAGGTATTTTATTGGTCTGAAATAATCTATGGATTTAGCATTTTCTTGCCCTTATAATGGTGTTCAATGAATATTCGAATCTTATAGGTTTTTGTATGTTTTTAATATGTATTATAATAAAATGTAAAATAAATTTTATGGAGGGCAGTTTTTTTAATATATTGAGGCTCTGGTCTTCCAATTTCTCTGATTAATTTTGCAGTTACTTTAGTTTTTAAGGTCACGTTTGACACATTGTCTTGTTTTAGAAATTAAAAGAGCTTTTTATTTCCATAGGGATATAAAAGCTGGAAATATTTTGCTTGGTGATGATGGAACTGTTCAAATTGCAGGTGATATTTTCACAGCTCAAATCTGTATATGAGTCTTGAGTTCTGAAAACATTTGAAACACATTAATGTTCTATTATGCCTCTTCTTAAAACTCTTGTCATCTAAGCCTCCATCCTTTGACATATTCTTGGTTTCTAGTGTACAAAAATATCGTGTGGCCCCCAAATAATTTTCCATTTTGTGTATGCTTTTGAAACCTTGTAATAAAATTGCAGTTAACATTATGGATTGTGAACCTTCAATTTTTTATCTTCTCCTTTCACTGTTATAGAAATATATATGCATAAATATGTATTTTCTCTTTGTGCTTTTTTTTAGCAGTTAGGGAAAATGTATCTTTAAATTATTTCTGTAGGATTGACATAGCCTATCATTAATATTTCATGCATCCATTTGCCTTACAAACCTTTTAGGTCATTTTCTGCTCATAATGTAGGTGTTACTTTTTCATTTAATTTTGTTATAATGTATGTATTGTTATGTGCCCTTGATCTTTTTTGTGATTTTTGAAAGGCATCTTCAAGTTAGACAAACTCTCATTTGATAGATTTTGGTGTGAGTTCGTGGTTGGCAACAGGGGGTGATTTGTCTCGTCAGAAGTCGCGCCATACATTTGTGGGCACACCTTGTTGGATGGCTCCTGAAGTAATGGAACAAGTAACTGGATACGATTTTAAAGCAGATATATGGAGTTTTGGCATAACTGCCATTGAATTAGTGACTGGAACTGCACCATATCATAAATATCCTCCTATGAAGGTGACAGTTTTTCTTATGTTGTGTTATTAACTATATTTTACTTTTTCTCTATGTAGGTAACCAAGTTTATATACATACATATTTTTTTTTATCCCTAGTTTCAGTTCTAAAATTATGAACTATCTATTAAGGTATATAAGAAACTGGCAAAAATAATATTTTTTATTTATCCAGTACGATAATTTTTTAGCACAAAAATTTAAACATGCCACATAAATTTAAACACATAAACATTTTATAAGTTTAAATTTTTTGACAAAGTTTCCCCAGTTCTTTCTTATCTTTCTCCTCCCTTTCACTATATTTATTCTGTTATTTATAATCTGCTTGATAATTAAAAATATTACATGCAGATTTTGTGTAGGTATTGCTGTATTGAAATAAGGGTACTTTTCCGTTTTGCCGGCGCAGGCGATAAAGTCGCGAATAATGGTACAACTGATGCCAAACGGAATATCCTCGCTGGTAACTTTTACACCTCATTTTCAGAAAGAGTCTCAGCCATTTCTTATCAGATTGATTGTTTCTTTCAATACTGGCAAACGATTACATAGAATTTTTACCAGATACAGTCAAAAGTCGTTAATTCGGACACCCATAATTCGGAACGATCTATAATCCGGACCTCAAAGCTAAAAACTTTCTGCGCATGCGCCGCGTTGACACATGCACATAGGCGTTTACGCGTGCTCGTAAGACCTTTTACGACTGCGCATATGAGTGTGCGCAAGCGAAGAATACGTTTTCACGTGCGCGTTTTATGTATAACGGACGGTATAAGCTAAAATTATCGATTTCAGTTAATGTTGATGATTGCGTTGTTCCTTAATTTTTGAATTGGATCCAGCTTATTATTTTTTGAAGACTGTAAGAGCAATACTATAAAAGTAAACTTGAACTTTCGATTACGTCAAATAGAATTTCCGATTCTGGAGCTCCCAAAGGATCGTACAAAACGAAAGTATGTTTCGATGTTCATCAAACAAAAAGTGGAATTGCTGCAAAAAGCAAAAAATGGATAAAGGACATGAAGAATGTGACAGAGAGGTTAGTGAAAACGAAAAAATTTCGATTGACAAAGTTAGTCGGTATTCTCGGTCGCACAACAATTAACGAGACTTGAACAGCGGAACTTTGTAACTGAACAAGAAATTATGTCTGTTTATAGAATTAAAGAGAAAGTATTATCACATAAAACAAAGCAACTTACATTGAAAGAAATGTGTAATAAAGTAAACAAATAAATATTAACTTTTTTTTGTAAATTTTGATACCCTTTAGATCATAATTGTTCTTTATTTCATAAATTACGGTTTCATATTTTTAATTTTAGAATATCTGCATGTCATCTTACGAGATTTAAACTGATGATCTATAATCCGGAAAAATCGATAATCCGGAATCGCCGAAGTCCCGACTAGTCCGGATTAACGACTTTTGACTGTAGTTCAGTTTTATGCTTTAAGGCCATTCGCAGTAATTAAGTCAATTAGGATGCAATCACAGTGCTGACCTGAAGGTAAAGTCAAGGGTTAAATTTATCAATTCTACTGAGAGAATATAGAAAAGGCAAAGTTAAGGGTTAAATTCATCAATTCTAATGAGAATGCACTAGCGAAGTAAAGCACTGCAGTTTTATATAATTTCCGAGTAAGCTATTTGTACGAATTGAAATAATTCTTGTATTCGAAATTATGATTTAACTTGAAATTAATGTAGGTAATTACTTGAAAGACTTCAATTTTTGTAGCATAGTTTACGTGAGATAAGATCACTTGGGGTCACGTGATAAGAACTGGCGATTCAGGATGTTGAAAAATGAAAACATAGTAAATTCTTAAATTAGTAGCTTTTTACAAATTTACTGTCTTTATTTATTGGCTTTTTACAAAATTTTAAACGTTTTAAAAATGTTTATGCCTTCAAAATAAAAAGTTCTTAGAACTAACATTTGTTAACATTTTTTATGTGTATACTGTATGTTGTTGCCAATAAAGTCTGCTTGGCGAGATTTGCGCCGGCGAAACGGAAAAGTACCGAAATAAGTAAATAAATATGGTAAATGAATTCTATTTATTTTTTAATTTTTTACATTTTTATCTGTTTCTATATTGAAAATATGACTTTTTTATAAATATTAAAATTGTATGAGTAAGTAATACCTATGCTTGTAAAAATTGGTCTAAAATAAGAGAATATTAAAATGTTATGTTTGAAATTTCACTCTTCATTTATATTTCTTTCCCAAAATCTGTTACTAACATTTATATATCAGACCTGTTACTTCATTTTGAATTCAATATTTAATTTTATCTGTAAATATATAAATGTTCTTGTTCATATTAGAAATAATTTCTGTATTTCCAAATAAGATTTAAAAAAAAAAAAAAAAACCAGTTAAACTACAATGTGTTTAAATTGTGTTAGCAGAAAGTATTATAATGTTTATAACCTTTAAAATTTTAGGTTTTAATGCTGACTTTACAAAATGACCCTCCTACAATTGATACTGTAGCTGAAGAAAAGGACCAGTATAAGAATTATGGAAAAACGATTCGAAAGATGATTGCAGATTGTTTACAGAAAGATCCTTCAAAAAGGTATACAATTTTTTTTTAATTTTATTTATTTATTTTATTATTATATTATTATTATTTTATGATTAAACATATTCTGTCTTTCTCTTTATCCTGTTTAAAATCTTTGTTGCATAATAATTTTGAAATATTTAACTGCCAACTTCGTGAGGAATTTTACGTAATTTTATTATGCTAAAATATATCGTTTGTTTGCTTTTTTTCTTAAATTGAACAGTGTAGCTAGAAATTCTTATTCTTAACTAAGGGTTGTTCTTTTGGTATTTTTAATTTTTCTTTTCAAGATGAAAATTATTCTGAAGTGGACTGTGTAATCTATAAAAAGAACGGGTGTTCTTGAAAGCTTCCAAAACTATTACTAATATCTTCTCGGTATAATGAAGTTGTATGTAGTTTTTCTTTGTATTGGTATATCTTAAGGTTTTATATAAGCCACTTTTAATTTTAGTTTTAAAAAAATTGCTAACTTGCAGCTTTTAAATGTTAATAAAATTCAGAGGTGTTTCATAATGTCATTCATTTTGGCTACCTTATGCTATTTATTTTTTAATGATAAAAATGTAGTGATTATTAAAGCATTGAGTGTAATATTTAATATTTTAGGATTCTAATTGTTTAAATTTTAGGCCTACTGCATCAGAACTCCTAAAGCATCCATTTTTCAAAAAAGCCAAGGTAAGTTATTTGTTCTGTAATTAAAAATTGCATAAATTTAACTATTCATGGTATGTATATAATTTGTAATTATTTAGGGCTACATTAAACATTCCCTTTCATAAATTACTTCATACATCAAATAATAATTTTGTGTAAATTCGCTTTTATAAGACTAATGTTTTAAAAAAATGTTTCTTACATATGTTCTTATTTCATTGCCATCTGGGAATTTTTTGAATAATTATTTATTGTGTTATTGAAATATACTGTATGTGTTTGCTTTTAAGTGATTTTTCTCTTGAATTTGAAATTAAATTTTATAAATATAATTTTAAGTAAGTGTTATGAGACTTTTATGTGCGTTTTGATGTTTAATTTTTCACAGTTTTATAGCTTTTTCTTTTATTATTATTTGTTTTCCTCATTTTCAGGATCGTAAATATCTTATCCAGATGTTAGTTTCCTGTGCACCTAGTCTTGAAATACGAGCTCAAAAGGTATGTTATTCCGTAAATAATAGTAATTCTAAATTTCACTATCTCTACTTTTTAGTGCAAAATATTTTGAACTGTATATGCTATCATATTTCTCAGCTGTTAACAGAAGTTTAAATTTACAAGCATAGAATCGTGTAAAATTAGAAATTTAAAAAACATGAGTGTTCTGTCTGGAAACATTTATGAAGTATGCAAAAATGGTGTTAAAGACTGGTGTTGCAGGCATCTGAAAAAAGGGGGGAGGAAGTTCAGATTTGCAAATTTAAGTTTATTTCAAAATTTAAGTTTTATTTCCACATTTGAAAATCTTCTACCAAGTATGTGATTAGATACTATACATGAATTTCCAATCAACAATGAAGTGATTTTGTATGCTAAAGTTGCAGATGTTTCTGCTCTAGCAAATGCATTTTTTTATGTAAGATATTTTTTGAATACATTTCAAGTTTTACTTAATTTAGTCATGAAAGATTATGATATTGGTGTTGCAACTGATAAATTGAAGCTGTAATTTTGTAGTTTACAGTATAAGAAAACTTGAATAAAATTATAAAACTAGCTAGGATTGACACCCAATAGAGTTAAATTGGACAACTAAAAGGTGTTGATTGAATTTTAAAGTATGGTAAACTGTTTAGAAGAATGTTGGCCATCCTGACAATTCCCTATAACAGTGCAGAGTGCAAGAGGATTTGCAGAAATAAGGACAAGGAAATAGTAATGGCACATTAGAAAAACTTATTATTAAAAGCAGGCCTATGTGTCAATTGCTGTAGACTTATGAAGTTTCTTAATGAAAGCAAAATCTACCACTGTTCATAGCATTTCTACGAGAACTAATTTTCAAGTAATTATTATTATTATAATTATTATTTTGTGTTTAAAGCAAGTAATAAAATTTTTTTACGTGTAATTATTTTTGTACTGTTTGCACTTAAGAATTAGTAACTGAACTTTCAGGTAATATTTATTCACTTAACTATTGAATAACTTAACTATTGAAAGTTAAGTTATCAGGACCGGATTCAGAAGTGTATGTATTTGCATGCACAAATAAATATGTATGTACATACACACCGAAGTGCCATTACATTATGACCACCCTCATCTACAACAGTGGTCTCACCCAGGATGCACAGCTGATGTTGGAGTATATAAAGCAGCTAGGCATCGTCTTTCCAAACATAGCACGATTAGCGACATAACAAGAAAAGCAGCTGATTTATCAGGCTTTGATAAAGGCTAAATCGTTATGGCTTAGCGACTGGGAACGTCAATCATCGCCAGCTGCATCTCAAATGAGCGAAGAAACATTGGAATTGGACATTAGAAGAATGGAAGAAAGTTTCATGGTCTCATGAATCATGTTTTCTGGTCCACCACATCAATGCACGTGTGCTAACATGCCGATTTCCAAATGAAACCCTGGCTCCTGGATGCACAGTGGGATGGAGACAAGCCAGTGACAGGGTTGTTATGGTGTGGGCAATGTTTACATGGAACACATTAGGACCCATAATTCCCATAGAACAATCCCTGACGTCTGTGTACTATGTGAACGTCGTTGCGGACCAGGTTCACCCATTCATGACAACAGTATTTCCGGCAGGGAATGGTGTTTATCAACAAGGTAATGCACCATTTCTTAAGGATCGAATCGTCAGGGAGTGGTTCGAGAAACATTTCAGTGTCTTGGCCTCCAAACGCACCTGACATAAACGTTACAGAGCATTTGTGGTCCCGTCATGTCTGTTAGTAACAAAAATACTTTTTACAGATTTGGAGTTCGAAGAAGCATTTATTTTAGCATATACATGGGCAGACCAAAATTTCAAAAAAAAAAAAAAAAAAAATTGTTAATGTAAATTATTGAAAGTTAGAGAGGGGATGTAGTAATAGATTTTAAAGAAGTTATGTTTTATTGAATTGCTAAAAGTTTCTGAAAATGAGTTTTTTTTAATATTTAAGTACATTTTTATAAAATTCTGATTGTCATAACAAACCTTGAATTTTGTTTTAAAATGTTACTTAAATGTATTGAGTGAACATATTTTTCTCGAAAAGGATATAAATTACTGAGGCACTGATTTTGTTTAAAATATACATTTTTTATTAATTTGATTTTTCTTGAATTAAAAAAGATTTTTTTTTTCTAATTTTTGGCTCTAATTATTAGAATAAAAATAGGTTCACTTAGATGGTGGAAGAACAACTTGGCGTTGACTGGGAGAGTTTTATTGGAAAAGTGTATACTCTACATCTAATCCGACAACAAAATAAGTGAATAGGTGGCCTTAAAAAAGCTCTAGACATAAATGAAAAATCTGTTTGTATGGGGAATAGACGAATTTGGCAGGGTTTACTGGATATTTTGCTGGTTGTGTTGAAAAACTGGTGAATTCTTTCTCGCTCATCTTCCAAATAGAGGCAGACGCACTAATGCTAAAAATCATCATCTATGTTCAAGAAGAATCATTGATTTATTGATACTATTGATGAGCATATGAAACAAAACTGGGTGCTCATATACAAAATGTTGAAAGATTATGGTGTTCCTAAGTGACAGAGTAAAAATCAATTGGGCATGATTGGCCATCATCATTAGTCTTTTCTTCCATAATTCATATTTAAAAAGTCCTTGGTACGAGACAATGCTTTTGAATGCCATATTAAAAGCAATAGTGCGAACATTGTAGCTTCAGAGTATATATGAGAAGTAAACACAAACTTGGTGATAATCCTGGCACCTATTTGGCATTTAGAAAATGGGGGCTATAACAATAAGGAGGTATCAAACTAGTTGTTAGTTTGTTTTACTGACAAGGAAGATAATTTAACCCTTAGTACTTTGGTATGGATACAGCGGCCATTTCAGTGGCTCCGAATGTTTTTTTATCTGATTACGCTATGTTGTCTGTGTTGCCAATTGTTAGTTAAAACATGCTAAGTCTCTAGCATGTCTATTGAGGTTAAATTATTTTGTGACCTTTTTTTTATGGTCAGAAACATTAATATATTCTCTCTAAAACTAATGCTGAATAAAAATGAGAAAACACTGAGACGTTTAGGATATTGGAAAATGTTAGTCACTCAGCTCGTAGGAAATTTTCTTCAGGATACAGCAAGAGTTTTTACATCAACTTCCAAGACAATATTCAATGAGAAGCTGCATATAATGAGAAAAGAGAAACTGCATTGCATGTTTAAAAAGGAAAGATAAGGGGTGGCAGACATCAAACTGAGTACTGTGACACTTGCCCAAGTAAACCCAGAATGCACATGCGGGCTGTTTTCAAACATAATGGTGAATTACAAAATTTTTGTTTCATTTGCAAGAGGAATATGCATTATTATAAAATACATAAGATCAAAAACATTCACAAGCACATGTAATTCTTTCCACACAAAATAAGACTTCTTCTGAGATACTGTGCTACAAAAATGTGCCAGAGTTGCTGATAGGTATTGGTACAAAAATCAGCAGATAGCTGAGGGTTAAAATTTTTACTGGAACATTTAAATGTTTTTTAAATTTAACCGAAAATATCATATTTGAAAATGAAATATGATGACCTAACTTCTCTCTAAGAAGCACATATCTTTTTTTAAAGTTATTATTATTATTTTGTCTTTGTTGTTTTCTCTGGGATTAAGAAAAAAAAAATTGTGAAAAGCTTTAACAACTTCCATTCTCCTTCTTTCCCCCCTCCCTTTTTTTAAGTATAGGCCAATTTTAATAATGGAATACTTACTGAGCTTTGCACTTAGCATTTTTATGCAGCATACCTACCTCTACTTGTTTTGTGTAACATTTGTGCTGTAATAAGTCATTAGTGTAGTCGACTCTAAATTTACCAGAATAAGGCTTTATTATTTTTCAGCTGAAAAATACAAAAAGAGTTCCTGGTACTAGTGGCCGTCTTCATCGAACAGAAGCCGGTGACTGGGTCTGGTCATCAGATGAAGAAAGTGAAGAGAAAAATGAAACCTCTGTATGTGTTGTACTTCTATAAAAATATTACATTGTTTGATGCCTATTTTGGTATCTAACAAACATAAGAAGGTATGGCTATTAAATGTCAGCCAAATGTTTTCTCGGGTTTGACTAATTCATTGAATTATTTTCATAAATTTGCATGCAAAATTTTAGCCATCTGATTCAACAATAGCATATTTCTTTATGTAGCTAACAACATTAAAATATGCAATTTTAAAATTTCTTAGTTGAAACAAAGCTTTAACTAGTGAAGTAATTTTTAGCATATTAATGGTTATATGTTAATCACTGTTGTTATGTGTTCATTGGGCACTTTTGTACTCTTCTTGCAAATTTTTTTAATGTATTTCTTTATTTATGAGATTTAAAGTTACTTGTTGAAAAATTTAAAGCTATTTTATAAATTGAATGAAAAAGTTATGAGAGCAAAAATAAAAAACATGTAAAAGGAATAAAAAACATGTCCAGCCGTTTGTTTTCATTATAGCTTGCTCTTGGAGGTTAAGTAGCATGTGCTTGATATGCATAAAACTTAATTAGCAAAAGAAATGTTAGAACTTGAATGGGGGGTCAATAATTAAAAAAAAAAAAAAAAAAAAAAAAAACCATAATTTATTTTCCAAGTAATTAGTATCAAACCTCTTTTTAGGATAAATAAATAGGATTAAGGAAGCTATTACTGATGACATTTCTTCAGACTTTAGGGAACCATGAATATACAAAATTTTAAAGTCATATGATAATACTTTTTACAAAGGGAAAAAGTCATGTCTTAATCTTGCAACATACAAAATGGCAAATTGCAGAATATTTTTAGAAGCATTCTCTGCGTATTTCAACTTACATATGCCAAGTAATATATATATTTTCTTTTCTCATTAGGATACCCCTAGCAACAAAATTGAACAGCTTTCAGCAGAGAGCGAGTCACAAAAAATTGAAGCTCAGCCTCCTAGTACGCAGTCAGATAGTCTTCCATGTAATGTAACACCTGTTTCAAATGAAATTACTCCTCCTAAAGATCAAAATACAGTTGTTAGTTCTGAACCAAGTGCTTATCAAGAAAATGTTGCCACATTAGTAAGTTGTCTTTCAAATTTGAAACTACATTGCTATAATAGACATAAAGCAGATACTGATTCTGTTTGTAAAAGGAATGACAGTATTTTTTTTTTTTTAAATCCTACAGAATTTTTCAATATTTATTCTGCTTTTTCAGTTAGTTTTGTTGTTACTGTTTAAATTCCCTTGGCATTTCATTATTTAAAGGAATATGTCTTTATATGAAAATAAAATTCATTTGTCTTACATCTGATTTTCATGTAAATACCAGACTGATAAATAATAATCTCTGATGATAAAATGTACATAATAATAATACAAATCCAAAAATGTCATTATAATGGTAAATTATGCAGGCAAATTCTATAGGATCTGAATAAATTTTAGGCACAAGACACTGCCCCTTCAGTAGATTTGGAACGAAATCTGATTATGTTTAATTCAAAATTATTAATTATTATTATCATTATTTATATAAAAAAACTCCAAGTGATACACATGTATAGAACAAAGTTTTAGAAAAGGAATAAAGAAATTATGAATTATGTTTTTGACAATTTGAAATTCAATTCATCAACTGAACGTTTTTCGGTAATTTTAGCAGGATATTCTTTATAAGTTGGCAAAAAACCAAGAAATAATGAGGGATTTGTCATTTTTTATAATATTTAATATGAAATTAGAGAACTTATATAGCCTGGTAGTGATTTTATTCTGAATTAGAATTATTTTTGGAGCTTATAGAAAGTTCATGATCTTAGAAATTTGTCATATGTTTTGTTATGCAGTAAATTTCTATTATTCATATGCATTTATTTATTTTAGACAAATGAATCTAGTAGTCCTCAACTAATTAATCTGGTTTTAAGGATACGGTATGTAATTCATTCTTTTTAATTGTTTGTAGGTAATGTACTCTTGTAAATATTTCAACTTTCCAAAATTAACGAAAGTTGGATGTTACCTTTTTTAGTTTGTTCACATCTGTTTTTCACTTTATATAATGTTAACTTTTTTTTTAAATTAAACTTCGCAAAATATGTAAAGATTTTAAATATTTATAATTTTTAGGTTTTAAAACCATTCAGACAGTGCATTGAAAAATTGACTGAAAAATATTATACTATTTCTTAATTTTATCTGGTTTTCAAAAGTTAATTGCCTAATACTAATTCACCAATAACTGGAAAAGTTGTACTTTTAATTGACTCACAATTTTATATAAAGAAATTCAATTTTGTGTTCGTAACAAAAAAGTTGAATACAATATACTTATATTTGGAATCGTATGTATATCACATTTTTGAGAAATAATAATAAAAAAAAAAATGGCAAAAATATATTTACGGGTGCCCCTTGGCGATTTTTAATAGCTCATGGATACCAAGTTTGTGCAATTCCTTTGACTTATTTTGGCTTTGTGTAGCTGTAATTTTTGCACCAAAAATCACCGATTGAGGAAATTTAACTTTCATCTTTCGAAAGCATGACTTAGGATATGTATTAGATTTTTATATATAGCATTGTTCTCATATAGGTATTTTGATGCAAAATCGGACTTTTTCTGTCCATATTTCGATTCTATGACTCAAATTACGCCAAACTACCAAGTTTCGTAAAAATCGCACAAATAATTGAGTTTGGTATATACTTATTAATCTCTCTTTTTTTATTAAACTTATTTGATTCTTCCTTTCACATTTTGGAATTTAAGTTCATTCCAAATATAATTCACCTATTTTTTTATGATTTATTTTTAAAATTTGTATTTTTATAAATTTTTCAAAAACTTTTTAATTATAATCTATAAAATTTTTGTCATCATCTTAAAGTAGACATATTTCTAAGCATATCTGCAAAAAGTTAGTTTTTTTATTCAAAATTTCCGAAGATATATGTGAATTTATATATTGGCGCGATTTGAAATTTGGCATATTTGTTGAAAGTGATAAAATATCAAATGTGGTTTAGACAGTTTGCTAAAATTATTTGAATGTAAGAATGATGTGACTTTTTTTCCCGCTCATGCACAATGTAAAAAAGGTAGGAACAAGGTCTTTTTTTTTTTTTTTTTTTTTTCCCACTCTGGCATAATGGAAGGGAAAGGAAAATTAGCTGCCATATATTAAGAAGTTTGCCAAGTGATTTATTCTTGGCACAAACTGAAAAAATTGCAACAAGATATTGAATTTCTCTGTAAATTTTGTACCAAATTTTACAAAATTTAATAATTTGAGTCATAAAATTGAAGTATGGAAAAATTGGTATGTTATTTCAGAAAAAGTCCTATTTTGTGTCAAAATACCTATATGTTAGAACAATGCTATATATAAATCTAACATATATCTTAATTTGCACTTTCGAGACGTGAAAAACGCAATTTGAATTTTGTCAACTGGCCCAGTAGAATGGGAGAAATAAAACTGTCCACCCCTTTTTTTTTCCCGCAGTATACACAGCAACCTATTTTCACTTAAAAAACATCAGAGAATTGCAGAAACTTGGCATTGCGCACTCCCTTGGCTTTGTCCATGTACACATCGATCTGTTTTCACTTAAAAAGTCAAAGGAGCCGCTAAAAATATGTAATCTCAGTAAACTACATTTTAAATGAAACAATCAAATAAAAAAAAAAAAAAAAAATCATCCTAGCACTACACAAAGGAAATATCCACTTACCTTATTAGAAATTTTCCTGTCTTCAGTCAAAATTCCTTAACAGCATCCAAAAACTTCCTAAAATTATCTGAACTAGAATCTGTATACTGGCATTGCCATATAAATTCACAAAGACAAGAGTAAAAAATATCCTCCGTAGTGTCAGTATCCTCCGACGTTCGACCATACACATTTCCTTCGTACAAACAGGACACTTATAATGTGTCCAGGTAAACCTTTATTTACACACCAGTCAATTAATGCTCTTTTCCCCTTTTGTTCCTAATCGTACAGAAACTTCAAATTAATCTCACATTTTTCAGCCATTTTACCGTCTAAACCGCAAAACAAGGAAGGAACTTCCTAACCAAGACAAACCACAAGCCCTTACAAATTTTTTCCCATCATTCAAATTCATTGCAGTCACGCAACCAATTATGTCATAATAGGGTTTCCATAACATTCAACTGCTCAGGTTACCCTAAATGAAAAACTACTTTGCGATAATACAAGGGGCACCCTTAAATCTATAGGAAACAAATAATACTTTTCTAAGGGATATGACTTCATACAAACTCTGCAGCAGTGCTCTATACCTTCAGTTTAAATCATCAAATGCACCAAAGAATACTAATTGACATTTCTGTAAGAGGCAGTATCCAACTTTTCAAGAACAGTTGAAAAACAGAAGTAGAGATAGCATATTATTGATAGATCTTCTGATTCCAGATCAAATTTTGATTCATCTATATGCAGACAATTCAACTTTTTATAGATAATGTCTAGTTTCTTTTTGATTTATATGCATAATTTGTGTCGGGGGAAGATTCTGTAGGCAAGAGTTTCTAAATTACTTTGGTTTTCTACTCTTATTTATTATTTTTTAATTTTAATTCTGGCCTTTTAATTGCTAATTTCTCAAAATTCCACTTGCTTAAATTTCTTTTTAGTAATTCACCACATTTGGAATTACTTTTGGTTTTTACTTTTACTCTTGCCTACCTGGATGACGAAATACGAATTGAATGATTGAAGAGTTAGATTTGGAGACAACTTTCCCTTGATAAGTCTGTCTCCTGCCTGCTCAGCAATCATTCACTTATGCATTTTTATAAATAAATTTTTTAGGTTTAAATTTTAATACTTGCACTTAATTTACATATGCTCTCAGAATTTAAATGATATTGTAGATTAGTGTGCAACAATAATTAATCATTTATTTGTTTGCATTAAATTTAAATAAATATATATACGTATTTTCCAAATTTTGGAAAAGAGGTTCATTTGTCCTGCACTAAAATAAGTAGGGACAAAAAAAAAAAAAAAAAAAAAAAAAAAAAAAAAAAATTGTAAGATAAATTTCTCTGCAGCCTGCAAATAGTTAAAAACTGTTCATAAGCTCAATTATGAAGATGAAAGCATGTTATCTTGAAATTTTGCGATATAAAATATGTATTAGGCAATAATTATTGCCGACAAGCATATATTTTAAGCTGCATTTATTTTAAATTATGCTACCATGTTCTTTTTAATAATAATGTGCAGAAGTTGATTTTTCCCCCTCTAATTGCAGGAACCAAAAAAAGGAATTAAATGACATTAGGTTCGAATTTCTTCCAGATAGAGGTAAATTGTACATTTCATTTACAGTTGTGTGTATGCTTGATATTATTTTGATTTGATTTACTGAAGCTGCCTATTTGGCCAGCTTGAAATAGTTATTATAAAAAAGGGAAATATATAATGATTTTAATGAGTTCACCTAATGTAATTTCATGAAAATATTTAGTGATTTTAATAGTAAACCAAAAGTATTGTTTTTCTTTATTACATTTGTTTAATCAAATGTTCAGTCAAACAATTCTAAATTTAAGATGTAACAAATAATACAATGAGCTGCCATAAATACTGAAGCTCACTATCTAATTTCTTTAACCACTTGTGCTACGACTAAACTTTATGGTTGCGGTGCCGTGCGCTACAATATAACAAGCGGTAAAGTGTCTCATTTACACCGCTCCTCGTCTGCATGTGCAATCCAGAGCTGTAACTTGAGAAATAAACAATCTCGTTGTTAGGCGACGTTTGCACCACTTTATTTTCATTTTTGCGCGCGGTTTGAGACAAAAGCATCTCGACGTGCGTGGCACGTCTTTTTAGCGCAATTGGTTAATATGACAACTACTTTTAATCATGCTTTAAAAAGAACTGGAGTGAAGGAAAATTTTAATTTTTCAGTGTTTTTAAAATAGCTATTATAGTAGTTGCATATTATAGATTTGGAATGAATTTTGTAAATAAAAAATTGGCTAAATTGTCTTTTTCACAGAAGTTAGGGGAAAAATTATAAATAATTAATACAGTGCAAAGTCCAGTATCCTGAATGATCCAGTCCTCAAAACCACCAAAATTGTTTTTCTCGTAGGCTTTACGCATGCTCATTTGATTCACCTCTCCACGCATAATAAAAAACATCTGGAGAGTCCAGATTCTTAATTTAACTTCGACACTAAATAAAATACCTTGTTATTGAAGAAGCAATCATTTTAGCATAAATTTGTACGATCAGTGATTTGGCTCCATTGCTGCGTATTTGCTTGGCACACATTTCAAACCGAAATATTCCACATAGATGAATCGTTGATCTGACGCCAACCTGGTGAATCATTATTTATTATACTTTTCTTTCATCACAACATGTTTATCAAAATATGACAACTTGAGTGATGACTGTAGCGATGCCTAAACATTTTTTTTTTTTTTTTAATGTTAGTAATTGAATAATAAAGAGGTTATGGTAACCTTTTATGTTGACATTATTACGCTTGGCAGTGATTACGGATGGGGAAAAATTTAACAAAAATTTCTTTTCATATGCTAAAAATATATTTTGTTGATTATGCTGATAGACCCAAAAATTACATTTAGGGCAATTTGAATTAAGAATGACTGATTTTTTATTCACATAAACCCGGAACCAGCGCCAGGGCTCATATAGCCAAACCTCTTAGAATTTAAGACCCACAGAGACGGCATCAGGCGGTAAGATATCTAGCGCCAGGCCTCAACAAAGCTTAAGTATATGTGGGAATTTATTTATTCAGAACTCTGATAAGCATATGCAAGAAATAGACATAAGTGTAATAAATAACTAAACTAATACAATTCAGGGTTAATTGTCTCAGTGCGCAATAGAAGCAAGATAAAATTTAACGGAACAATTTGTCGTTAGTCGCCAAGCTCATGATGCATGGCCAAATATGTATAGTGAAGGATAGCTAAATTTGATGATGACAGCCGCTTAAAGGTGTTCGGATATCGCAAAACAAAGGTGAAATTTTTTCAGTTACCGGATTTTGTAAAGAAATGTGGAGAAGTGGTAATAAATGAAAATATAAAAGAAGTTTTTCATCGTGATGCCAGTGCTTATATATCTCAATGAATTAATGAATGACAAAATCTGTAGTATGGTTCTAGATCCAGAAAATACCGCTACCAATAGCGAAGAAAGTGACAGAAACAGCAGTTACAGGACTTCTACAGTGTTACTGAACAAGAGATTATGTCTACAGAATTTAAGAGAAAGTATTAGCACAAAAAAACAAAGCAACTTTAAACAACTAACATTGAAAGAAATGTTTAATAAGGTAAACAAATAAATATTAAGCTTTTTTTTTTTTTTTTTTTTTTTTTTTTTGTAAATTTTGATAGATCATAAATACTGCATTATTTCATAAATCACGATTTCATATTTTTAGTTTTATAATTTCTATTATATGCCACCTTACTAGATTTAAAGTGATGATCTAATATCCAGAAAAATTCCAAATCCGGAATCGCCGAAGTACTGTATTTACTGAATGAATGGTAATGGCACTATCAGAATCATGCAAATGAGTATAATTAATTTTAAAATGTATTAATAAAAGGTAAACATCATAAATATTTTTTTCAGCTTTTCCATTTGTATTAAAAAGTAAAACATTTAATTCAAAATGCAGTGAGCACTTTTTTTAATGGATTGCAATATATAATGAACTTTTTAATGGATGTGGTATATAGATACTTTTTTAATGGATAGATGCAATACATGTTGTTTTAGAATTTTGAAATGTTTCTAGATACAGCTGATGGTATTGCAGCAGAACTTGTTGGTGCTGGTTTGGTAGATGGCAAAGATATAATAGTTGGTAAGTAGCTATTTAAAATTTAAGAGGTACAAGATTAAGAAACTGTCTCTTGCAATCTTTATATGTAGATGCATACTTTGTTTAGCTTTGGATCTACTTCTTCTTCGTACAAGATTAAGAAACTGTCTCTTGCAATACTTTGTTTAAATTTGGATCTACTTCCTTCTTCGTTAGCATAACATTAATTAAAGCTACATCTCTGAATTTGGCAGTTCGGTGTTTAATTATACTGAATTGCGTATAACAGTAGTTCCCAAGTGTGGTGAATTTTATAAAAACACGTCCACTGAAAGGTAGTGGTAATATTTTACTTAAAGAGGAAGGATACAAAGATGCAGAAGATTTTGCTGGTGCCGAAGTTTTAATAAAATTGGCATATTTTTGCAAAACTGAATGAAAATGCAGACAAAGATTATTTTTTAACATTGCAGCAAATCTTGATATCAAATGAACTTGATCTTTCTCAATTAAAATTTTGATAGGTTTTGCATGGATTCATGCATTTAGCACTAGTTCCCCATCTGAATTAATTTTTACAGAAGATAATTTTGTCAAATAATCTTACCAATATCTTGTGACAACAGTCTGAAAAGCAAAATTTAACAGCACGGAATTCACAGAATTTTGAATTTCAGTAAAAGATTAATATACCCTTGTAAGTGATAGGCTCTGTTGATTTTATTTCCATTTTTGATGTATTTTTGTGAAGCTTGGTTTTCGGCAGCTGCTGTAATAAAAAATATAAGCAAGTAGAACAAAAATTAACATGGAAGAGGAAATGAAGGTGGACATGTCCAGTTTATCTCCACGATTAAGAAAATGTGCCATGATTTGTAGGCTCATCTATCGCAGTAATTATTTAATATTAAAATTTTTTTAAATAAAGTTAAAAAAATTTAAATAATTCAATAATGACTTTTTTAAAATCTCATACAATTTGTGGTAGGGCACCATGAAAAAAAGCAACTCGGAAAATTTTGGGAACAGCTGATGACATTTAAATTACGGCTCTGTATGTTTGAAAACTTACAGTGCCGTAATTTAATTATGTAATTTAAGAGGGGTGAGAAATTTAACTTTTAACCTAGTATAAATATGTTTGATATTTTCAAGGTATAAAAACTTAAGATTCACTAGATTAGTGTTATGCACTACCTGCCAGCTTACTAGCTATAGGAGAGTTAGCAGCTAGTAATGAAGTTGTGTGAAATGCTTTATATATATTGCTGAAAACTTGTAAAGATTTCATTTAGTTTATAGACAGAAAAATGACGATTCCATAAATCACTATGTAAAATCTTAGAACGAGGATTGGCAACCTTTTCTAGTAGGAGGGCATATTTCAGAAATTGTAACTATAGGATATGTAAAGCTTTCATTTAGTTACAGTGTTCATTTAAATTACGGCTCTGTATGTTTGAAAACTTACAGAGCCGTAATTTAAGAGGGGTGAGAAATTTAACTTTTTAACCTAGTATGAATATGTTTGATATTTTCAAGGTATAAAAACTTAAGATTCACTAGATTAATATTATGCACTACCTGCCAGCTTACTAACTATAGGAGGATTAGTAGCTATTAATGAAGTTGTGTGAAATGCTTTATATGTATTGCAGAAAACTTGTAAAACTTTCATTTAGTTTATAGACAGAAAAACAACAATTCCATAAATCATTATGTAAAATTCTAGAACAAGGATTGACAACCTTTTCTAGTTGGAGAGCATAATTTTAGAAATTGCAGTTTTATAAGAGAGAAATGCCATCTTCTGCTTACAACTCGAAACACAAATTCATGAAATGAAAGCTTATATATGAACAGAGGCTACAGATGTAAAATGTACCATGTCATTGTTGGACAAAAGTATACGAGGATAATGGAGAAAGACTGTACTTCATTTTAAGTGGAGTGTATGAAGATAATGGAGACAGAATATAGTTCATTGTTGTATAGTTATGTTTTAAGTTTAGATTAGACATCACTGAATTGTTTTTTTTGTTAAAATATGAATTATTCATTTAATATCTAAAATTTTAAATTTGAGCGGTGGGTACTGAATTGCCAGTCCCTATGCTAGAAAACATATGCAAATCTCATGATCAATTATAATTTCCTTAGCTCTGAGAAGTCCTTTCTTCCTTTTACAGTTGCTGCTAATCTTCAGAAACTTGTGGATAATTTGTCATTAAAATCTGCAGTCTTTGCCTTGGTGAGTAGTTTTAAAATGCTTAATATGTTCTCTCCTCCCCATGAAATTCTCAGTTATTAAAAGATCTGTAAATTTCTGTTGCAGAATCCTGGTCCTAATCCTTCTGAGGTGCCTGATGAAAAAGCTCTAATAGGTTTTGCACAGTTATCTATTGCTACAGAATAAAACGATATGGGACCAAATATAATTCTACCAGCATTAAGATCACCTAAAGAACTAGTCCAGCCTTCAGGCTCAGACGTTTGCTTTGCCAACCACTTCAGGTGGTCTTCACTTGCCTCTGTCTGGAAACTTTCTTTGTGAAAGATTATGCTATTATAGTTCATTATTTATGATATAAAATGCCAATTTAATATATATTTTGGACCTGTGTACCTTTTTGCAATATATAGCCTTATCAGTTCTATATTTCTGTGATTCTTTGTGATTTCTTAACATGACTGAAAAAACGTTTTGTATCAATTGCACAAAGTGCAACAAATATCCAGGACTGTGAAGGCCTTCTGCACTAAGGGGCCTTAAATTTCTGAAGATGCATAAACCTGATCCTGGACGAAAAATCCCTTCATTCTTTTGTTAAAAAAAGATGCAAACTGCAGCATTCCCCACCTTTACAATTTCTACTGAAACTCTTTGAAAATGGAAACTCACTTCTTATAATGCACTTTTTGTTGTACTATGTTTTCGTAACTGTTTGTGAATAAAGTGAGAAAAAGGGAATACGTTAAGATGATTTATGAATTGATTTTCAAATAACAAATTTTTAAAATGTGATATCTTAAATCATAGAAAAATGTGATAACTTTATAATTCTGCATATAGAAATATATATATAAAAAATAATAATTAGCAAGAAATTGCTATTTCTTTTTTTCATTGTAAACGTATGAAAATCTAATAATAGAGGGAAGAATGGGCAAATTGTAACCGCGTTGTTTTAAAATTATTTGTATTTTATTATATTATACATTTTTTAATGTGTCAAATGTTCTATCTTTCAATTACAAATTGCTGACTGCGTGTATGAGTAGGTTTCATACAGGGTTCTTAGCCACATTTTAGTTAAAAAAAATAAGCACATTTTAAGGAAAAAATAAGCACCTGTCTAATTACATTATACACAACTGCATAACCTTAAAAGAAAAATTAGACTTGTAATTTAAAATATGAGCAATGCAATATTTATTAAGAGAATGAGCATTGCCTCACCATGGAAAACAATTACTTTTTTTTTTTTTTTAAATTTTAAATGACAGTTCAATTTACAGAATTAGTTTACAATGAGAGAAAAAAAAACTATGCAGAACTAAACTATATTACAAGATTTAATGATGATAATTTCAGTTGAAAATATAGAAAAAATAATAATAAGGCCATATTAATTGTATTTCGTTTGGCACCTAATAATAAATACAATTTATTTTTCCCACTCATATTAATATTTAAATAATTTAACTTAAATCAAAATTTGAACATTTTCTAAATTTTCATTGCATAACAGTTTTCCCTTAACATAATATTCCCAAGCAAAGTAATTTAAGTAAAAAAGAGGCACATTTCTGAAATCAGAAGATGGGAAATTGCTTTCATTCATTATCCTTTAACAGTAAAAGCTTAACTAAGCCGCATACTCGGAAATTGGCGAATATTCCGGATAGTAACTGGAAAAAGAGGAGGGGGGTGGGGGATGACTGTAGCCGTTCTTTAGATTTAATTTCCGCTAAATAAATGATTTTGATATTTTGATATGTGCATCATATAAAAAAAACCCAACGGAACTGAGAAATATTCTGCTTAGCAAGCACAGTAAAACTCTTTTAAGTGTTCATAAACAAATCTCAAACTGAACATCAAAATTAATTCTCAATGCAAAATCGCAAACGTTATTGCGCAATACGTGTGGCGTAATTCTTCCATATGTGATATTACGCAATCGGAACACTGCCGGTATTCGGAGAACAGGGTTCGTACGTCCTTAAAAGATTTTTTCAAAAGGATTTTTGGTCCTTAAAAGTCCTTAATTTTGGCCAAATGAATAAACGGTCCTTTAATTTTGCTCATTTGACATTTCTTATCATTTCTAATGATTGCCATTCTAAGTGTGAATTGCGATTTCTCATGAATATGGAAATTAAAATTACACGGCTCTTAACCAATCTGTTGGCGGATTTGCGTTGCAAACGATAAAAAAAAAAAAAAAAAACAATTAGCTACCCGAACGAAAGTATCGGGTGTCTGATTGGCTATTCACCCAATCTTTCGAAACAGGTGTTATCCATAAATTTAGGCAGATTGTGACGAAAGCGGTGAAGCCGGAATTCTTCTTAAGAGGCGAAAAGTGATGATGAAGGTGCTCGAGAAAAAAAAAGGGGGGGGGATTCTGAAAATATTTGCCAAAATTAGAGCAATCCAACCTGGAAGGCCAAAACCTTCCGACGCCAATAGGAACGAGATGCCTGGAAAGTGCATTTTCAATAAACTGTGGCTTCATCAAGCTGACTACAAAGAATGGATATTGACGGACGGCAATCCTTAAATGTGGTCTTTGTCTGAAACAAATTGAAATTTCTAGAATGGGAGAGTCAGCGCTGAAAATTCACATGAAAATTAAGTTTCGTTTTATTATTTCAATTTGTTTTTGCACGGTTTTGCTTAGCTTAATTTCTGTGTTTGTTTCAATTAAGCCATCAATAATTTTTTATCACCTTCTACGGAGTTTATTCTCTTTTGCACATACTATATGTATGGGAATGGGATATCGGGATTATGAGTTTATTCCTGCAGAGGGTCTGTTATCGATTTCGCGGGAAATCTGTTGGCTCCATTTCGATTTTAGGTCGCCAAGGGCAAATTCGGTAACGCTAGCCGAGAAAAAGTGAAGTTCGGAAATACGTTTTGAAGCTTCAATAGACAATTAAGTATTTGGTTTAAACCTATGTTGTTGATAGTAATGCATAATTTTTGCTAATGGCAATACAATTATTAGTTGAAAATAACTAAATAAAAAATTTTTAATATTTTTAAAGCTGAAAACAACTAATTGAAACTAATTTTCCTGAATTACTAAAGTTATTGGGTAGAAGTTTAACTGAAAATATACATTCCGTATTATATATATATATACAGTACATAGTCCGAGGTCGGGACTTCGGCGATCCCAGATTTGAGATTTTTCTGGATAATAGATCATTTTAAATCTACTCAGATGACACGTAGAAATTATAAAATTGAAAATATGAAATCGTGATTTATGAAATAATGAAGCATTTATGATTTAAATGGTATCAAAATTTACAAAAGAAAAAGAGCTTAATATTTATATGTTTACTTTATTAAACATTTCTTTCAATGTGAGTTGTTTTTGATTTGTTTTCTCTCTGACTAATACTATAGACATATAATTTCTTGTTCAGTTATTAAGTTCAAGTCCTGTAATTGCTGTGTCGAGAATTCCGAATAACTTGTCAATCAAAATTTTTTCTCGTTCAGTAACCTCTCTGTTACTTTCTTCACTATCGGTAGCTGTATTTTCTGGATTTAGAACCATACTACAGATTTCGCTCTCCGTTAATTGATTGATGATTGGGCATTGTCATCGCAATGAAAAACTTCTGTTTAACTTCGCTAAATTCTGCGGCCATGCGAACTCTGGCGCTGGTTCTGGCTTTATGTGAATAACAAATCGGTTATTCTTAATTCATATAGCACTAAATATAATAGTTTGTCCTGTGAGTATCATTAACAAAATCTATTTTTAGCATAACGAAAGAATTTTCTGCTAATCTCCCCTTGTCAACATTTTAGCGCATTAAACTTAAATCTGTAATCGGATAATACTCTGTTATTTTGGCGTCGCCGCATGATTCATCTCTCAAGTTGTCATCCGTTGATAAACTGCGGTGATGAAAGCAAAATACAATAAATAATGATTCGCGATTCGGTATCAAGGATATAAAATATTAGTTGGTGTAAATTAACAAATGTTTCGGTTTGAGATTATGCCAGCAGATACGCAGCTATGGATCAAGTTACTAATCACACAAATTTATGCTAAAATAATTATTTCTTCAATAATGAGATATTTTATTTAGCGCCAAACTGAGATTAAGAATCGGGATTTCCGGCATGTTTTTTTTATATGATGAAAAAAATCTAATGCGCATGCAAAGCATACCACTTCCCTTCAAAAAAGCCTAAAAATTGTTCATGGTGGCTTTCAGTCCGGATTTAGATCATTCCAGATACTGGTTCGATTTCGGACTGTATACCAGTATGGATCACTCTTTTAAAATAATTCTACTTTAATTAAACTTAGAGAAATAAATCAATTAATCAATATTGTTTAAGAAATAAATTATATATATAATATAGTAAAAATGATATTTTCACTTCAAGTATTCACTGTGACAAGTATTCTTATCTTGTCACATGACAGGCCTCTGTGGAAGGGACTGCTCTGTAAATAAAGCAATTAAATTGAAATTTAAGTGATTCATCATACATTTTCAACGCACAGTATTTGATTACATAAAATTTTCTGGAGGTGTTCTTAATATCGAATTATAAAGAAAGAGATCAGCATCAACTCTGCAAGAAGTGGAGTTCGTTTTAGAAGAACAAAACCTTTAAACTAAATCTGAAATTCAGGGAAAAGAATATATTGAGGAAGAATTTTTATATGACAGAAAAAAATTTCTTCGAAGAGACATTAAGTATTAATGAAGAGTAGAATGCTTAAGCAGTGAAGCTGAGACCACATGAACATTGATTTGTTTATAACGCAATGACTTATAAGAAGTTAAGAAAGGAATAGACTAATAAATAGATGTAAAATAGCGAAAATTCAGATTTAAAAAAGCACAAAATGTTTTGTATCTTTTATTGTACAGTTATTATTCTAGTATCTTCAAAAACCAAGGAATAAATTGATTTTACAATCAGTTATTTAACTGCAAATATCTTACATTGTGATTAATAGTAGTTGACTGTGTTTAATAAATATCAAATAAGTTAAATAATAAGATGTAAATCTCTAATAGTGACTGTTATAAGTGTAAAATACACTTATACTGTTTTTCAGAATATGTTCCTATTTAATGTTATCTACTTCTACTGTAAGAGTTGTTAATTTTCAAAATTGTTTATGGTAAGTATTAAATTGAATTTAATAATAGTGCATAATAACACTTCTGTTAGTTTCTAAATGAATACAAGCATGAAGCGGTGGTACGGATTTTATTACTTATTCTATTCAATTTTTTGTTTGTGATGGTCCTTAATTTTTTCTTTTGGTTCTTAAAGTCCTTATTTTCATGAAGAAATGTTGTACGAACCCTGAGAAGAACTAAATAAAGGAAAAGAAGAGCTACTACTCTGGGGTGTTACTGATTCTAATTTTCAACAGACTGTATAATTTCCGAAATAAAATCAATCTTCGCTGGGGTTGGTAGACCGCAAAAACTAGTCCTATTCAATCAGATTGGACGTGACAGAAAAAGTCCGCTGCATTTCAATATTCGAGATTTGCGAGAAACTCCCAACCTCCCGTACTGTATAACGTATTGGCAAAGAAAATGAAATTATTTTTTGACTATCGATTACTTCCTTTTATTTAGCCATTCCAAATTTATTCTTAGAAAGCTATCTGTGTAAAAACACACCCATTTTTGGAAGTTTATCTATACTTCAGCAGTTACTGCAATTATATTATTACAGTAAGACCCCGCTT